TTTCTGTCAAGAGCTATGTTCCATCATTAACCTTTACGACATCGTTCCTACCCAAGTTCTCCCTAACTCGATCGCCGCCAACAATGACATACGTTCTCTTATGTCGGAGGATGAGGATCTCATGGTCGATCGAGTTGTTCAATCACTTCTTCTCTTTCTGGATCGGCCACGACGGCTACGTCCAATTCGTCGCTGGCACTAAGATCCAACTACTGGGGATAGAGAATAAAATATAGAACTAGAAGACCATGAATGAGAAATCTACACCTTACTAAGTGTGCCCAGGAACATTCGAGACTATATGGCAATAATCGAGGGACAACGTCTCTCCTTATTCCAATACTTCGATCCCAAAGTGACACCCGGGTCAGAGGCATGGAAAAGCTCCAGCAATAGAGGCCCCACCAGGGCTCGTCTGAACGACTGTAGTCCAAATTATTAGTATAGTCCCAGTCATTCTCGGAGGAATTGATTCCTCCTGACGAAACTCTCATAAGAGGTATAGGACAGTGGAACGGTGCAGTCTCACGGCCATGCAAAGAAGAGAAAACTGCACTCGCATCACATTCATAGATGACGATCTGCCCCAGCGGGAGAACCCATAAAACGAAGCTATAGTTGTAACGTGAATAATAAACAACTTCCAAGTTAGAAGTATCATCATTGAAAATGGTGGCTCTATGAACATATTGTTTAAGCCAATGTTCAATGAGCTTAACCACTAGGCTGATCAGCTGGTAGCATCGGTCAGCCCACTATATGGCTTTCAAGTGAAAGGAAAGAGGCACTGGGCTTAATGCCACTGGTGGTCACCTGGGGAAAAGGTGAGAAGCAATTCACGAAAACATAAGACTTTTTTATAGTGAACTCACCTCCAACCTACAACGTCCTCTTTGGTGGCACGTTGAATCGGTTTATGGTCGTGGTGTCCAACTACCATGTTTCGATTAAGTTCCCAGGAGACGGGGAGGGGAGGTGATCACTGTGGGAGGAGACTCGGAACAATTGCAGGTCTGCTACCTATGAGCTGTGGATAACATCGAACAAGAGTTGTTTGACCTGTAAAACCGGAGGGAAGGGAGCCTCGAAACCAGTGAGACAATCATGAAGATTTTCATCGCCAAAGAAGAGCCCTGGTAAATCTTTCCTGCTCAGTGATTAGTTTGATGCCGGGTATAAGGAGTTGTTGATTCAAACTCTTCGGGACCATCGTGGCGTCTTCACTTGGTTCGCTGCAGAGATGTCAGGGATACTGGTTGACGCCACTTGCCACCGGTTGAATGTAAGCCCCACTGCAGGTCGATCAAACAGAAGATAAGAAACTCGGCAACCACACCAATCAGACCGATCAGAGAGGTGTTGAAGTTGAAGGAAGTGGGGTACAACCAGGAGGTGTACTACCCCACCTGGGTCTCAAACGCGTCATGGTCCAAAAGTTCAATAGAAAATGGCATATGTGCGTAGACTTCACGAATTTAAACATCGCTTGCCCAAAAGACTGCTACCCCTTGTAGAGGATCAATGCCCCAGTGGATGCGGTTGTGGGTCATTCTGTGATGAACTTCCTAGACGATTTCTTCGATATCATTAACTCAAGATGTACTCGACTGATGCGGAGAAGATGAAATATAATGCCCTTTAGGCTTAAAAATGCTAGGGCAACATACCATCATTTAATTAATGAAATATTTGTCAATCAAAAGAGAAAAAATATTGAAGTCTATGTTAATCATATCCTTGTGAAAATCAGACAACAGAACAACACGTAAAATATCTAAAAAAAACCATCCAAAGTTTAAAAAAAAATAGCATGAAATCAAATCCTATAAAACGTATGTTTGGGGCCTCAACCGGCAAATTCTTGAGTTACCTCCTAACCCTCGAAGGCATAAAGGAGAACCCGAAAAAAATATTGGTGCTAATTAAGAAGTTGCCACCACGAAACATCCGAGAAGTTCAGAAACAAATCGACAGGATCACAGCACTTAACAGATTCATCTCAAAGTCAGAGGAGAAGTGTGCATCATTCTTCAAAGCCCTCAAGAAAGCTGAAAGTTTCAATTGGACAGATGAGTGTCAATGAGCCTTCTATAGCCTGAAGGATTTCTTAGCTTCATCACTACTCCTCCAAAGTTCAAAGCTAAATGAAGAGCTCTCATTGTACTTAGGAGTGGGAGCTAAGGTGATCAGCTCGGTGCTAGCCAAGGAGAAATCGGGAAGGCAATTCCCGATCTACTACACCAGCTGTGTTCTCCAGGGAGCGGAGGTTGGGTATCCAATTATGGAGAACTAACATTTTGGTTTAATAGTGTTAGTCCTCAGATTGCAACCTTATTTCCAGACGCATAGTAACTTCAGATAACCCGCCAAAGTCGGTGCTTACCCGACCAGAACACTCTAACTGGCTACTCAAGTAGGGAATGGAGCTGAGCGAGTTTGACATCACATACGTCTCCCGAGCGGCCATCAAAGCACAAACTGTCATGAGCTTCCGGGCAGATTTTTCAGAACAAGACATCCAAGAGGAGAAGGTCAAAGCAATCAACAATAGTGGCTTCTATACATAGATGGCGTCTAGAATAAAACCGAAGCGAAATTAGGGCTTGATCTGAGTAGCCCTGCAGAAGAACATTTATAACACTAAGTGGCGACAACCAGGCGGAGTATGAAGCTCTGATCACCGATCTGCATCTATCTATGAGATGGGCGTGCAAATTCTCATTGTGAAATCAGACTCCCAATTGGTAGCAAATCAAACAAAAAGAAAATTCAATGTTAGAGAAGAAACAATAATGAAATACCTCAACACAACCAAGGTAGAAATCTATAAATACGCACAATCCCGGATCAGACACGTCGGCGGAGAGGAAAACCAGGTGGCGGACTTGTTATCCAGATGCATTTGCATGGGGAACGAAACATCACAAATACTCAACCGACTGGTTCTATACCATGCTTTTGCTCTCCTTGCTCTCTCTATCTCCCCTCAACACTTTATTTCTTAGGCGTGTGTCCCGGACAATTTTGAATTCAACATAAACTATATTTGTAGTTAGAGCCTAAATAGATACGAGAATCTAGCTTCATTATTAAAAATTGTAGCTCTAGACATAGAGATGTATTATTTTATCACTTCGTTTTGGTACAGCATGACATATTTAGTTTAATTATAAATTTTTTGAATCTTTTAGAAATCATCTTTGGTTTGCCTTGTTGAGGTTTATGAAACTAGAGAAGCTTTGGAAGGCCGGTTTGGAAGTCGAGCCTTTTACTTTTCGTTTGTAGAGCACTGGGTCGTGAAGTAGGACTTACAACACTTAAAATGGAGAGGCTCTAGTTTGGATTTCCGACCATATCTTATAAGCAAGGGAGTTCAAAACAAAATGAACAATACTCGGAATACATACTCTATCGAGTCCACTCCTTGCATGCAGAGAATTGTGCTCAATAAGCCCAATATTTCTTCTGCATTTATACTTTTTTGAATTTTATAAATGACTTGAGTAAAAAAAAATAGAAGATTATGAACCTACACAATTATGAGAGAGTACATGATCCGCAAACACGGCAACTTAGTTATCTAGAATTTTTTAGGAAAAGCCCAAAATAATTTATCGATTATGAGCAAGTGCCCAATTTAGTACAAAAGCTACATGAGTGCTCACTGAGAGTCAACCACATGCGAGTCACATCGAGTGAAAGCCCCATGTGGCCACATCGGTTGGCCGATTTAGGGCAGAAGTCAAGTCGCTAGTCGACTACAAAGCATGGCCGCTATGGGTTGAAACATAGAACGGAACCGAGTGAGCATCCAAGTAAACTAAGCCATCAGCCGCATGAGTTCTCGTCGAGCATCAGTCAGCCAGGTGGAAGTCCCCATTGAGTGACAACCATGTATGAGTCCCATCAAGCGGAAACTGTTAGCATCGTGCAGCCATATTCATTCTGCTGTAGAATAAGTAAAGAAGCAAGGACACTAGGCCCACTAAAAGGTTTTGATGCCTCCTGCAAAAATGGCTAATGGAGGAAGCGGCAACCATAATGGTTCATCTAGGCCAAGGATTGGTATAGGTTATTTCAGCATTTTTTTTTCTTTTTTTCGAATGGATTAGTGAAGCCGGTGGGATTGAGATAGTTATTTAGTATAGAACAGATCACAGGAGGTCATTCACTATTAATATGGAAGCCTTAAGAGGGTAAGCTTATTTGTTATAGGCTGGCTGTGGGTGTTGGATGGTCTCAAATTTCTTCCTATTTTGACTCTGTTCGGCTATATCATTTAACATCTCAGCTGGATTCTATCTTTGTTCAATACCATCAGCTGATGGTTTCATACTGTACTTCAGATTGTATTCAACTTTACTTTTGTTCTCATGTATTTCGATTTTTTATCAGGAATTGACTTTTAATTATATTCTTTCAACTCTGGCTTCTAATGTATCTCTAACTCTGCCATTATATTTTGTCTTTTGAATAAAAAATGAAGTATGGAGGCATTGCCTTATAAATTCTATGCTAGCCCACTGTAACGCAAGAAAAGTTCTTTGACTAGACAAAGCGGCAAAATAGAAGCATCTGTTGCACAACTTCAAAGATACGAGGGATTGCAAAAATAAAAAAAGTAAAATCACACACATACAAAAATATGTTGGAAGAATTACACACATACAACTCAATTCATATGCAATGACATATCTAAAACCTAAACTACAATTTTTACTTGCATACCACCTTACCTATGCATGAAAAGATGTATTTTCACTCTCAAATCTTAAAATGATGGTATTTTTTATGTAATATGAAATATTTGGGTGGTATAAATGTAAAAAAGTAAAGTTTAAGTGTTATCTTTGTAAATATATAGGAATTGGGCGGTATGTATGTAAATGCCCATCAAATAATAAGAATGATTCATTAATTTTTTTCTCCTTTACCAAACTTGATCAACAAATGGTCAACGTTGGAAAATCATAACCGAAGCAGAGTTTCAAACTGAGACACAAGTAACAAATGCAGTCTGCAAAGTTTTGATGAACATCCGCTTATGAAATATTCCATATAATATAAATTTGAGCTAAAAAGTGTAAAAGTATGAAAGTGAAATAAAGATTGAACAATATTTACAAGAAATACAATGCACATGAGCATAGTTCACACCTTATCACCGATTTGAAGAAGGTATTATAATGTCCTTCATCAATGTAGGCGAGATGCAACCCTTTGATCTGAAAGATTGTGCAGTTTCAAGAGAGCGAGAAGTCTGGAGGGCCATTTCAGAATGGAGCTGAAGACATCGCATAGCCATCTAAAAACAAAGCCATGAAACATATATCTCAATCAAATATTGATTTCTAAATTATAGATCACTGCAGTATCACAATAAGATCATTCTCAAGCCAAAAGGTATAATTCAAATGATTAGATTATGACTCCAACGTCCACATTAGATTTAAGGAGCATTTGCATAAATGGCACACAATTCCTATGTAATTACATATGTCGCACCTAAACTTTCATATTTACGCACATGGAACTCAAATCTTTCATATCACATCAAAAATAACACTATTATCACTTTTTAAAAGTGAAATACACTTTCCCATGCATAGGTTTAAAGCACCAAAATGTTATGCATGTAAATATGGAAGTTCAGGTGAAATGTATATACATAAAAATTGTGTGTTATGTATGTAAGTTTTCCCAGATTTAAATGTCATTGCCAGTTGTGAATCAGCTTCTTCTATAGAACAGCATGCACTGCATTTTATTTGAGTTAATAAGCGATAGCATCGAAGGGAACTTAGTGGTTCTGAAAGAAAATAGAAAATGTTGAAAAGATTAATTAAGGAAATTTAGCCAGTGTAGCAAACTCCTGACTGACAGTATAAAAGTTTTGACGCTAGTATCCTCACCAGTCCTTCACCAAATACTAGTCTCGGGATGTCCCCGTTCAAAATTAAAAATGCTAAAAAAAACTTTTTGTTCGTGTTCATGTTATAGTCATTTTGAGCTTGATAATGAACTTCTCTCGAGCACTTTTTTCAAGCTTGCTTAAAAATTCATGAATATGTCCTTGTTCGAATGTAATGGGCTCGATTTTAGCAAAATTATGATAATAAACATATATAATTACAAGTGCGTGTCATCTTGTTATTGTTGTTGTTGACCACAACTAGTGTCATTGTCTCACAGGCTATCGCCCCTACCCTCAAAACAACTTTTATCATCTTCGCAGAAATCAATTTATTTGATATTCAATTATATATATATATATATATCTGTGTGTACATACATGAAACTATCACATTCCTCTAATTCATCTCTCGATTATATAAAATTGATCCAAAAATCTACCTCGGTGTAAATCTGAATCATTTTGCATGATCAATGGACCATATTGGACAAATGTAATTCTCTAAAATTAAATTAGCCACATATGAATAGTCAGTGACTATTTTGAGATTTAGTATACACTTTCTATGACTCAATAGATACAAAATTCTCAAAGAACTAGTGCTTGGCTCAAAAAAACAAATGATGAAAACAAAAACAGCAAAACTTTAGCCAATATATTTAATAAGTCGAGCCAAAAAATACTTAAACTCACACAAGCTTGATCCATTTATACCCCTACTTAGGATTAAGGCATGAATAACACTGAGCTTCAGCTGCATAGACCAACATGAATTGCTGGCAGCCACTATAATTCCAACCCCCATCCCTAAAGGAATAAACTTCATCAACGATGTTGATATCAACTGAACGTAACTAACTTAGGATCATCTTCAAATCAATAATGTACTTAGTTCTGAAAGCAACTTCCAAGATTCTAAATTTACAAAACTTTTTCTTTAAAAATACCTAGTTCACCACCAAATTTTCTAATATAACATCATTCAGTTCTTTCATCATCAACTACAACCAAGCTTATCTATCAAACAACCTTTAAGGTTAACATTATAGCAAAAACAGACCTAGAAACAACCCTATAATAGTGGGCTGTGTTTCAATTACAAGTCCAACACAAACCAAGTGGCTTCAAAAAGTTTATACAAATGCAATGGGAATCTACACGCTTTGAAATATCGTTTAACTCATCTTCTAATTCAAAAAAGAATTCACGTTGATCCAAACAAAACTATTACGTTAAGATACATTCCTTTTGTAACCAAAGGTTGAATCATTGAACTAGAAAAAAACTCCAAAATAGTGCGCATGCCTTTTGATGAAATTCTTAATGAAACAGTTGCACCATAAAGCGGGTAATGCATGTCTTTTGGTGAAAGGTTGCAAACTCAAAATGAATTTACATGCTTCGAAATATGTAAGAACTCATCTTACAAAACAATTTCTATTTTTTTGGGTGTATCCATTTTACCACTAAAACTGTCCACGTGCATCAAAAATGCCCTGTGGAAATTGTTTCATCCACTAATTGTTGGCAAAAGCAATGAAAAAAATTATGGGACAGCAAATTTGATCAAATTTGCTGAGTTGAGGGATCAAACTGAATATTTATTTTTTAAAAAAATGGATTAAAATGAACAATTCTACAACTTGTAGGAACTATTTAATATATGATGGCTGCCAAGCAAATCTTGCTTGAGACCGCTTAAAGAAGAATGGATATATATAAATATAGAAAATAAAATACAGAAAGGATGAATCAACACAAGAACCAAAAATGACAATTTTCATGTTGTAAATGTCCATTTACTTACAGTTGAACACTCAGTATCAGGGTCAGACTCAGCAATCTGAAGAGCCCATATGCGAATCCACTCCAGCCCATTAGAAATTTCATCATTGCCTTCAATCAAAGCAGATGCCACATAAGATGGATGCAGAGCCTGTAGAATACTTGAGGCCGCAAAAAGAGCAGAACTTCTAACATATGCTTCTGCATGATGAGCTACATCCCTGTCAACAGAAAAGAACACGTAGGGCATAAAAGAAAGAGTCAAGTATCACAAATATTTTCTTTCAAAAAAAGGGACATAAGAAAATATTGGTCAATCTAATAAACTTCTAGCTTATTTATTACCGAGACTTTAACATATCAATAAGGTGGGAGCCCAAGATTGTTGCTTCTGGATGCATCGCAATGCATTTCATACACACACCAAGCATATGAATCAATTTTCCAAGAACAATGAAGTCCCTGTTTAGTAAGTCAAGTCCACGCCTCCTTTTGTCGTATCCTTGCATTGCAGGAAGCATAAAAGCAGCAGCATACAGAGGAAATTTATTTTTAGAGTGCTCTGGTTGGGAGACACTAGTTTTCCCAATACTCCATCTCCGTGATTTCCCTTTCTTTACTTGCCCGGGTCTGGAGGGAAGTACTCTCTCATATCTGTGAGACCAACTTAAAAGTCCAACTTCCTCAACCTCCTTCCAGGGACCTGCTCCATTAGGTTCACTATGACTTGGAAAATACCATGGCTGGTTTGCTGCAATAGAAGAAATCAAGCTCTTTGATTGACTAATCCTAGTAAAGAAAGTAGCATTAGCAAGCTCCTGGGCGGCCTCTGTCATAACGTCAATTATTAGGAGACGTTGACTAACATCCACATTTGAAGAATAAAGTAACTTTGTAAGAATATCCAAAGATTCAAATGGGCATGTCACAATCAGAGCAACTAAAGCCCTTTGCCTCTTTTCTTCAGCAGAATCTTCCTGGCCTTCAATAGCTGCATCAGCACAACGAACATGCACTAATGCTTGAACAAGATCACCAGAAAGGTGATGGAGCTCATCAGGTGCTGCTCTTATGAGCTTTTCAGCAACATTAAGTGCTAGCTCAATCTGTAAATGAAGAAATAAAAATTAAGTAAACAGAATAATTGGACCGTGCATAATCAAGTATGCAAAGTAACTTACACCATCGGGATCATCAGGTTTTCGTAAAGCTGAACTGATATCAGCCAATTGTGAGAATTTTTTTTGTAAATCGGTATCATCATCGGAGAGATCATAAGGTTGTAAGGATGAATCACTTGAAACTTCAGAATGCTTGCTTTCATCATCACTGACTTCATCATCCACGAGCCCACTATTAAGAGATACTGATTCAATACTCTTATCAGGAACATTCTTTCTCACCTCCAAAATCTTAATTTTACTTCGATCCCCATTATCTTTCACATCCTTATGTTTCTTACCAAAACATGCATGATCAGTAAATCTATTTGAATTTTTTAATTCAGCGTTGTCAATTAAAATTCCATTTGCTTCTGGCTTCTGGGTCAGAGAATTAATCCCAAATTCCCAATCAATATTTTCACAGCAGATGTCGTCAAGATAGAGGGGCTTTGCTGGATCAACTACTCTAGAGAAGGCTAAAGCAATAGCACAACCCATTTTCCTAATTAAATGAATCGGGCTCCCTAACCTGCCTGTAAACAGTAAACAAGTTTAGGAACAAAAACAAAACATTTTCCTTATCACTAAATTATTTATATCGGAAAATGTATAATACAGCTGACTCCTTGAAGAATAGATGACAATACATCTTGAGTTGTTTCTAGTTCTTCATTGGTCATTTTCTCCAAACACAAACCAATAGCTGCAGTTATATCTGAACTTCAACTAAGAAATCTATAATTTATAGAACACTACGTGTACAAAAATTACAAAGAAATTATATAATTTGTGGCATACAAATAATATAATAATTACAAAGGATACAAGCTTGCTGCTCCACTTGAGCTGACTGAACAAAATCATGCTTGGACCACACAGTAACTAAGCGCTGCACAACGTCCAAGAACCTTTTAGTCTTCAGGCGTGTTGGGCATTCATCATCGTCCGGTGCATGTTCAATAATGGAGAACTGAATAATCCATCTCAGGCAGCACACTGGAAATACTTTCCAAAGCAAAAATTTGTCCACGAACATAGCCCTGAAAATAAGCTGCCTTATCAGGTCAAACGAAGCTCATACCATTCAACATCAACTCAAAAATGATGAGAAATTGGTAGACATATTACACTTCTAAAACTGAATTCTCCCTTTCCAAACAAAAATTCTGTCCACAAACATCACACTGATAATAATAATAAACTAGTTTGTAGTTTCAATGATTCAATAAATATTCTTTTTAAAGCATTTTTCTTATTAAACTGTGATTATTATTTCCTGCAAGTTTTTTAACAAGAAAACGAAAATAGCTATTGCAGAATGAGCTTGTGTTTCTTTTAAATAGCAAAGCCGGAGATAGTTGACTTAATTTGATTTGACGAAACTGCTTGGTACACTTTCATCCTGCTTAGAAGGCTGCGAGTAAAAAGTGCTAATGCGCATTAGCAAGAGTGATTCTCTGACAACCCCAAATAATTGGGATAAGATGGGATGAAGAAGAAAATTAGTGAATAATGCTGGGATGTCTTCACAGTTGACACCGATTTGACACCGATTTTTTTTTTTTTAGATTTTGACAACTCTAACCATATTTTATGCTAAAAGGTAGCGGGTAGAACTTGGACGGATAGCCAAAAAAAAGAAGTATACATATTCAGGTTATTGAACATAGGGAAAATTGAAAAAAAGGTTTATGAGAAATAAAATTATCATTTAAGCTATTAATTATGTGCAAGATTATATAATGAGTCTTAATATGTAACTAACAATTTTGTTATCCCTGTGGCTATGTATTTTATTCTTTGATGACTTGCTTAGTGGTAGATGCAAAGGAAGGGCACCAAAAAGATATTCAACATGGAAGACAATTTCTATTTTATAACTGGCAACGCTTCTGTCGACAATGCAAAATATATAAAATATTGAGGGATTTACATGCATACAACAAAACTCTTAGATATTTACACATCTAACATCTAAATATTTACATTTACTTATACATAGGGGGTTTAAACAAGTCGAGTTTGAGCAAAACTAAAAATGTGATTGTATTCGACACGTTTATATTTTTTTTGTTCAAAATTGGCTCGTGTTCAAAATGACTTCTGAATACTGATTGTGTTCAGCTCAAAAAAAAGTTTTAGTTCATTTTCAGATCATGTTTGGCTCAAATTGGCTCGTTTAACTTAATTAAAAAAATAAAAGTAGGGTGTTGGAGGCAAATCTGCACTATTTTCATTTAACAAAAGACAGAAAATGACATGACCACACGAGCTGTGATGATTTAAAATTAGATATAAATATATATAATATATTACTATATAAATTAAATATATAATTGCCTTATTTTGAGCTAGAGAGAGTCAAACATGATCGAACAAAGGGTTGTTCGTGTTCGGCCGGTTTATAATTAAAGCTTAAAAAATTTATTTGTGTTCAGCTCGCTTACTTAAGAACAATTCAAACACGAGCTACTTAATGAGTCAAACATGAGTTGTTCGCGAACAATGAGCATTTTTGCAACCTTACTTATACAACACCCAAATCACTAAATCACACCAAAAACATCACAAAAATTAATGTCCAAGTGAAAACAACTTTTGAAGCAAATATTTTGATGTGATTTAGGCACTAGGTGGTTCAATGCATAAGTGCAAAGGTTTAAGAGTAAAATATGTAAATAAATAGGAATTTGTGGTATCTATGTATATTGCCTAAAATATATTATTGCAAGGAAAATTTCTCGCCATTTTGGTTAAACAAAAGACCATCAATTTGAAGAGAAAATAATTATTTTTATTTTATTGCAATTATGAACTTTTGATAGCAAATTTAATGTCAATCTCAATCACATAATATACTTTAACTTAAAGCTCACTACACAATGAAGAAGCCGTAACATATTTTATATTGTTAATTCTTCTGCTTTATTTTTTTTTTTTTTTTTTTTGCTTAAAGAATGCATTTACATTATTATCACTTCATCATTTTCTCATTAATTCCATTCCACACCGGCCTTCAAACTCTCATATAAGTATTCATAGCCGGCAATTCAAAAGGCAGCATCCATGCCCGAGAACTCTCAAGAAAAGGAGAGAGATCTAAAGGGAGTTGACAAGACTATTGCAATGATCTTTGCCTAGGATTTTATCAAACATTGTGTTACGCCCGTGCCTAGTGAATTTGGACCTTATGATCATGTAGCGAGTCTTAGTTTAAGCTTTGGGAGAGATTCTCTACCTCTCAAATTGTAGGAATTGGGAGAGATAACTCTCGAACTATAATTGTTTATCCTTTATTCTGTATGTTCGTGTTGCATTATTTGCTTTGGAAAAAAAAATATTTTTGCCCTAATTTAAATAGAGAATCCTATAAAATTGGTATTAGAGCAAGATTCTGGCTAAAAAAACTATCGGATCGCTACGTACCAGGTCAGACAGGAAGAGATTTGACAACCAAAAACCAAAATATAGATCGTCGAGCCTTTGTCCTGCTGGGAAGAAACGCACTGGATCGCGGTGTACCAGGAAGCCTGGGAAGGGATCAGCACTATCTCTAGGATCGCAGCAGCACCTTGTATATAGTCATGATGTGGAGCTAGCGGCATCAAGATCGAGCATATAGGTGCAATTTGGATATTGTAGCAATGTTTGCTTGGCCATTCCCACAATAGTGTCACAATCGCCGAAAGTAAAACGATCATATAGCGGCTACAGTGATTGACCAGCCGATACATTCGCAATTAAAGCTTATGGTTGCAATTCAATTTCTCTGTGAAGCATCACGATTTGAGTCGACTTTCCACAAGCTGAGTGGGAAAATTGTGGCTTGCCTTAATAGTAGAAAAGTCGTGCTTCAAGCTAGCTACATGTGAACGAACCAAGAAAAATAGTCCCGATTCAAATCAACTATGGAATCGCGTCAAACAAGCTTCAACAAGGATAGGAAGTATAAAAAATAGATGATTTGGAAAAAAAATTGGAATAAGAGATGAGTCAAATCAGATCTAGGATGGAGAAAATGTTCTTCATCACAAAAGAATGTATTTTTTCTATAGATGGTAGGTTTTCTTCCATGAAAAACCGAATTGAGGGTCTATTTGAACGCTTGGAGGAGACAGAGTAAAATTAGCAAGATGCAATCCAAGAACCCGCCGGCAATTCAGTTTGCAAACCCTAACCAAGGGTTAACCGGAGACTCCTTGACTAAATTGAAAAAGAGGAAGATCAAGCGAGAGGAACTAGAGGAGAATAGCATCACACATTAACAAACCCCTCTCAGGGCTTCGATTGGGGGTGGATTTGAGATTTCAAATGGATGTGTTGGGCCAAAACATAGAGAAGAGGTTATGCAAGGAATATGGAGGAGCACGAAAAAAAAAAAAATACAAAAGCATGGATGGGATATGGTTATGATCTAAGTAGAGAGTTTTATCCTTGATACATGAGAGAAAACAGCAAAGAGAGAGGAAGTTGGGTTGGAGATGATAGGGTTAGAAAGTTGAATATATCGATCTTCAAAGGCGAAGATGTACATGGGTGGGTGTCCTTGGTGGAGTGATATTTTGGGGTAAATAGGCAAAATAGGAAGGAGAAGCTCATGGCGGTAGGTTTATGTTTGGAGGGGAAAGCCTTAGTATGGTTTCAGTAGAAGAAGGCTAGATACATGAACCGTTCATGAGAAGTATTTAAGGATTATTTGTTGGAACATTTTCGAGTCATTCGGGAAGGAAATCTACACGAACAATTCTTTGCATTAACTCAAAAAAGGACTATCGTGGAAGATAGGGAGAGATTTGAGCTCTTGTCATGATGGATGGGGGGAATTTCTGAAACAGTTTTGGAAAGGAACTTCATGAAGAGTCTAACGCTCGACATACATGCATCACTTCAGTTGTTGCGACCACAAAACTTGGGAGAAACTATGAAAATAGAGCAATTGGTTGAAGAAAATTAAAGCGGAGGGTTGAAGATCATAATTCAATGGAACGGGCTAATAAGAGCAACACAAGTGGAGCATCATACCAAACTACTACAACCACAACGATACCAAAAGCTTAAATAGTTGCAGTTTAGAGAGAGGTTTCACGGGACAAGAAACATAAGTCACAACCGAGAGCGACACTCGAGCACCGTACAAAGAGAAATATTCAGGAGAAGCAAGCCAAAAGGTTATGTTTTTTGTGTGATAAGAAACTTGCCACAGGACACCGTTGCAAGGATTAAACATTACAGGTTCTCATAGTGTGTGATGTGGAGACAGGCGATGAAGAAACAGAAACAGTTGTGGTAGAAGAGAAGGAATACCCTCACTTTTTCTCACCATGAGGATAATGTGTCTTTTAGGAGGGAAATATTGATATGTCGGTGTCTAGCCTAAGGGCAAATTTGTCTTTCATACTCTTAAGGGCAATTTAGATTTTTATCGTGTATTATGATTCAGTATAAATAAGGTAATATGTTTAGGGTTAGGGTTATGCAAGAGATTATTGTTGTGAGCCTTAAGGGTTGTTTGGTTTGTTGAAAATGAAGTGCAATGTAAAAAGTTTGCAGAGTGCTCATGACTATAATGTATCTGGAATACTTTAGAGTTGTTTGGTTAACTGTAAAATAAATGTAAGACTATATTTTTTGTTTGGTTTGAATTAGATTGAAAAAAAATTCATTTCAAATATATTTATTGTCCGGCGAAGGTGAATGGCTGGCAACAATGGTGGCAAATGGCCTCTTATGGTGGCCTAATTTTTCTGTGCAAACTCCTGATGTAGCTCTACGTGCGGCGGAGGTTATTTCTGAGTTATTTTCAGGTTATTTCTGGGTTATTTTCAACAAGCCCGAAAATAACCCAGAAATGACCCAAATCCCGAAATAACCCAGAAATAACCCGCAATCTTTATTTTTGGGTTATTTCTGGGTTATTTCGGGATTATTGAAAATAACCTATAAATAACCTGAAAATAACTCAGGAATAATATCCGCCGCACATAGAACTACGTCAGAAGGCCGGACAGAAAATGCGCTCCCTATGGTGGCAGAGGAGGCA